AATTTATACTATATATATAATATAATATAATCTTAATTATTTATATACTAACTATATATATATACTTATATACTTATAGACTTTTATAGTTGTAACTTCTAGACTTATTACTTTAGTTTTTAAGAACTTAATACTTCTTAAGATTTTACTTTCTTTTTTTAATTTCTATATATATATATATTTATTTAATATTTTAAGTCTTAATATATGGTATTATAGAATATAAATAAGTATTAAAGTTATACTTATACTCTTTATAATTAATATTTATTTTATATCTTGTATTATTATATTAAATACAAAATACAATACAAGATACAATACAATACAATACAAATACATGTATTTTTTTCTTAATACAATACAATACAAATACATATATTGTATTTGTATTGTATTGTATTGTATTTGTATTGTATTTTTGTATTGTATTGTATTTTGTATTTTTCTTTAACTCTCTGCTTAATTTCTTATAATAGAAATATTTATTATAATTCCTTAACGTATATATATAGTAAGTAATATATTATAGTAAGTAACACACGTTCTTATTATTTGTTCTATCTTTATCTTTACACTACCTTTTCTCTACGTATAATAATAAAATCCTCTCCTTAAGAAACCTAGATTATCTTTACACTTTTAGCTATCTAAAAAGACTAAAAATTATCTATATAAAAAGCAGCCTTTATCTATTAGCTACCTAAATCTACACTCTGTTATTAACTTACTAGATATATTATATAAGGCAAAAGATAACTAAATTTAATAAAGATAATATAAGTAAAAGAAAAAGTAATTCTTAAGAGGGTTATTAACCTAATTATTTAAAGGTTTTCTTTATAATAAAAAGACATATAAGATATAGCTTACTAACTCCTAAATAAATATAATATAATATATATTAGACCTTAATAAGTAAAGAGCTTTATATAATAATAACCTTAATTAAAAAAATAATTTTAATATTAAATTAACTATTAACAGGCCTTAGCTAAAGATCTTATAATTATATAAGGCTAGTTTATATTTATATAAAATATAATTATAAAGTATAAGATATAAGATTGTAATATTTATAATTTTAATAAGACTAGGTTCTTAATAGAAATACTATTATATATAAAAGTTATTATAACCTCTAATTATAAAGGAAGGCCTTATATAAAGCAGCCTAGTAATTAAGAATAGGTTTTTATTATTTAAGGTGTATATATAAATAGCTAGGTAATACCTCTATATATTATTATAAAAAGTAAATATTACCTCCTCTCCTAGTACTAAAATAGCTAATTCCTAGCTAACTAGTATATCTACTTAAGTAAAAGTAAATAAATAATAAATAAGATTAGCTTAAATTAGTTAAATTATTTTAACTAGTATATAAAGGCTTATAATAAAAGTTCTTATTAACTCCTAATTCTTAATACCTATAATAGCTATAAATTAACTAAATTTAAGAATTTCTATAAAGAATAAAAGATTATTACTTTATATATACCTTCTTATTTATTATATAAGCTTTAGCTTTTTAATATAAGTTATTTTAGCTTATTAAAGCTTTTATATAGTAAGGAAATTAAGAAAGTAATATAAATATAGATTTTATATATTATAAAAGATATCTTTTTTCTTACCTTTAAAGTAGTATTTTTTACTTTAATAAAAGAACAGAATATATAAGCTAGCTTTAGATAGGCTAACCTTATACTATTTAACCCTAAAGTAGTTATTTCTTACCTAAACTTTAAGCTAAATATACTGATACCTCTTAGCTTATATCTAACTAGCTTAAGCTTATAAGACCTAAAGATACTAACTACTATACTTAAGGATATATAAAGTACTAGTTTACTAAAAAGAAAAAGATCTAAAAATATTAAGAAAGCTTACTAACACTAATATATAAGGTAATTAACCTCTAAGCTGAAAGTATTAGTAAGTTAGTATATAAGCTTACTTTTATTAAAGCTAAAAACCTTAGACTTTATATAAAGCTAAATATACTAAGTAAGCGCTAGAGGGCTAAAAAGACTTAAATATATCTTAAAAGGTTACTTAATATAGCTAAAGTAGAGGCACTATAAGGAGAAAAAGAGGGTATTAAAGCTAGAGGTAGGAAAACGTCCTAAAAAGAGGGTTATATAAAGGGTAGTAAGCTATATATATAATAATATAGTAATTATAAAAAGACTAGACATAATATATAAACCTATAAAGTAGTTTAAGATAGTAATAAAAAATAAAGTAATATATAGTTTTAATTAATTTTATATAATCTAGTTAAATTAACTTATTAAAATAATAAAAAAGTAAGTAGATATATATTACTTACTGTAATATATTACTTACTATATATATATATTACTATTTTAGTTTAGTTATTAAGTATTAGTTTTGAAGTTATAATAAGTTTAGAAAAAAGCCCTATAAAAATACTCTTAGCTCCTATTAAATATTATACTAACTATACTATCTTCTTAATATAGTCTACTATAACTAAAGCTACTCTTAAGACTATTACTTAAATACTTTATTACTTTAGAACTAACTGTTTAAAACTATAAGTATACTAGTAAACTAGTATTTAAAATACTTTAACTATCTCTCTATATCTTATATTTATTTCTTAGTATATATATATAGCTTTAGCTATAGATTATAAGATTATTATACTTTAGGTATATATTATATAATTTATCTTAGACTTATAATCTCCTACTGTAATTAAGTGTAGTAGATATAAGGGTACAGCAGTTTGAGGTAGGCTGACTTACACTACTGTTAAATATAGCAAAGTTACAGATACACGTGAATTGACTAGTAAATACATAGTTGCCCTATAGTAAATCGTCAGGGAATAGGCATTGAGATTGTCCTACTTTTAAGGTGATTTCACTAATCAAATGGCCAGGATTAGCCTAGGATTTCCTACCTAAGGAATAGGGGGATTTCCCTGTTCCTACAGGATTTCACTATAGTTACATATAACGTAATCAATTAAACATAACAATCCCTATGATTCAACAACTACTGCCTTTTGTAGTAGTATATGTACTACTAGTTTAGTGACAGGGTAGTTAGCTGTTAGTTAAATGTCACTTTCTAGGCATAGCTGCTAATAACAGCAGCTGAAACTGTAAAGGAAAAATAATTAATTACAGAAGCACTAGATAGGCCAGCCTGGAAAACAGTGGGAGCCGGATTTACTTAGTGGATACAGTAGAGTACCCTGATTCGCGTCCGGCCGGCTAATGTTTAAAGTTGGATCCCGAAAGCCCGAACGACTCCCTGTGGGGTAGTACGGGAATTAAACATAGACTAATAACATAACTACATGACTTAGTATCCTAAGTGCCAAGTGACCTTACATAACCCAAGAGTGGGTCTCTATAAGTAATTACTAATAGCTATTGGACAGCTAGCCTAGATTGTGGTACTCTTATTGGTCAGAGGATATGTGAGGTCGGTCACCTGGCACTGAATGGGATAACTACGATCTTGCTAGCTAGGACGCAATAGGACATAACAATAACGGCTTATAGTTATGAATATGCTTTGTAACTCTAGAATATAAGGGTAAAATGTGATGACTACCTGCTAGACCTTTGACGATTTATGACTTAGAGGCGACTGAGCTCCGCAATGCAAACATGTTCAGATACTTGAAATTCCGACAGGACTGGGATCTCGGGAATCTGATGCAATTTACCGGGTTATTTGCACGGACACGGATTTCTTTCCCTCCTCGAGCAGTTCTGGGAACTGTCATCGAATTACATAATTAACAGTTTAATATGTCCGGTTTATCACGTAACGTTGTCGGTATATGTATATAATGGCAAACCTGCCTCGATTACAATATTCTTTCCAGCAATCGTCTCATCACTCAAGTCAATGCAAAAAGGCTTCAGCTAGCTTGATAACACACAACCTACTACCACAATTTCGTTGCTTGTACCTTGAGTCTTTAAAGTACTACATTTCCGAAGTATACCATGTACAAGAACCAAGGTCCCGATATAAGTCTATATCTCTTCGGAGATCAAACCTTTGATATCGCGGAGCAGTTCAAAGATCTCCTCCGATACAGGAACAATCCTCTCGTCGAGAACTTCCTCGAAAAGTCATATCAACTAATGCGAAAAGAGCTATACCTATTGCCATCCGCTGTTAGAGAGGGCCTCCCTCGGTTCACCTGTATCGAAGATTTTGTCCTCCTTGGCCCGCAAAACATCGGGAAGTGCAATGCCCTAGAACTAGCTCTGACCTGCATCTATCAGATCGGAACGTTCATCAGGTAAGGCTTAGACTAGATATACCCTGATGGTCCCGTCCTCTAACAAGGCTTAAGGCGCAACGATCTTGGATCCTATAACGATGGGGAGTGTCGCGTTATCGGACTCTGTACTGGCGCCTTATCAGCGGCTGCCGTAAGCTGCAGTACTAGCCCGCTTGATCTCATTTGCACTGGTATAATCGCAGTGAAGACGGCGTTCAGGATCGGACTGAAAGTTACCGAGGTCGCCGGGAGATTAGCAGCTTCTGACCATCAACACCAAAACTGGTCTCTCATTGTCTCCGGCATAGGTATCTCTGAGATTATCAATGAGTTTTGCCATGAAACCGTGAGAAACCTCCTCTGTAAAGTCTGGCTGGTCCCTCTGTTTGCTAACTTCTTTTGGTTCAAGTCGCTATCAGCGGCCAGTAGGCCCTATATCAGCGCTTACATGGAAAAGTCTATGACTTTAAGCGGACCCCCGCCTGTGCTGAAACAATTTATCAAGTACGCGAGCTCTTCGGGTCTCCGGTTCGCACCCATCTCAGTATATGCTCCATACCACGCCCCCCATCTGTATTCCTCGACAAATGTCGCAGAAATCGTGAACAGCCTTATGCCCGATGAGCTAGCACTTCGGCGGGAGATCGTGCCAGTTTTGTCCAGCACAGGTTCTCAAGTCCACGGCGGCACGTTCAGATCCATCCTGGAGGCGGCTACTGCCCAGATTCTGCTGGAACCCATTAGTTGGAGCCACATGTTGAATCAGTTGCAGACGTGCCTCGCCGAGGTACGCCCGAAGTCGTTCACTGTATTTTCCACGGGAAGCCATATGGATGAAACGATCTACGCCGCACTCAACAAGACTGAGTGGCGTTATCTCACGCCTGTCAACGTGGCCCAGACCGAGTCTGCGAGGGCTCAGTCATTTGAGCCTCAAAATGGCACTAATAAGGCCAAGCTGGCAATTATTGGAATGTCTGGGCGATTCCCGGGTGCCAAACACAACGAGGCTTTTTGGGATGTCTTGCGCCAAGGCTTGGACCTGCACAAGCCGGCACCGGCCCTTCACTGGGACGTCAAGACACACGTTGACCCTACCGGAAAGATCAAGAACACGAGTGCGACGCCATTTGGTTGCTGGCTCGATGACCCTGGGGCGTTTGACGCCAAGTTCTTCAACATCTCTCCACGGGAAGCGGCGCAGATAGATCCGGCCCAGAGACTTGCGCTGATGACAGCATATGAGGCGATTGAGCAAGCCGGAATTATTCCTGACGCAACGCCCTCTACACGGCGTGACCGCGTGGGCGTCTTCTACGGGGTGACGAGCAATGATTGGATGGAGACCAACAGTGCGCAAAATATTGATACCTACTTTATCCCGGGTGGGAACCGCGCCTTCATTCCCGGCCGTATTAACTACTGCTTCAAGTTCAGTGGACCTAGCTATGCAGTTGACACCGCTTGCTCATCAAGTCTAGCTGGCATCCATCTGGCTTGTAACGCTTTGTGGCGTGGCGAGATTGATACAGCTATTGCTGGCGGCACTAACGTCTTGACGAACCCTGACTTCACGGCTGGTCTAGATCGCGGCCATTTCCTATCTCGAACGGGTAATTGCAAGACGTTTGACGATGGTGCTGATGGCTATTGCCGTGGCGAGGGTATTGGGACTATTATCCTGAAGCGTCTTGACGATGCCATCGCCGACCACGATCCTATCCTGGGGGTCGTCCTGGGCGCTTACACCAACCATTCGGCCGAGTCTGAATCGATTACACGCCCTCACGTCGGTGCCCAACGTGCCATATTTAGCAAAATCCTGAACGAAGCGAGCGTCGATCCTTTCTCTATCAGTTACGTCGAGATGCATGGCACAGGCACCCAAGCTGGCGATGCTGGTGAAATGTCCAGCGTCCTCGAGGTATTCGCGCCTCCGCCATCCCAAGTTGTCAAAGTACGCAAGAGCGACGAGCCCGTCTACATCGGGTCGGTGAAGCCCAACGTTGGCCACGGAGAGGCTGCTTCGGGCGTCACAGCTCTCATTAAGGTTCTGCTCATGATGCAAAAAAACGAGATCCCTCCGCACTGCGGCATCAAGACCATCATCAACCGCAAGTTCCCAACCGACCTGAAGGAGCGCAACGTCCATATTGCTCTGGAGCCAACTACGTGGCCTAAGAGCTCAGACCCTTCTCGACCCAGGCGTGCTTTTGTTAACAACTTTAGTGCAGCTGGAGGTAACACGGCTTTGTTGATCGAGGACGCACCCATCCTACCTGCGCTGCCTACTGCTACCACCTCTACAAGACCTCATCTTATTGCCGTGTCGGCCAAGAACGGAGCTTCACTCCAAGGCAATCTCAAGTCGCTTCTCCGTTTCTTACAGGAGAATGAAGACATTCCATTGGGACAGATTTCCTACACCACGACAGCGCGTCGCTTACACCACCAACATCGCGTCATGCTGCACAGCTCGACTGTAGGAGAGGCCTGTTCCCAGATCGAGGCCGCGCTTCGGGATGGCACGGGAATGAAGAGGCCCAAGAGTGCGCCTAAACCCATATTTTGCTTCACAGGTCAGGGGGCCCAATACCCGGGCATGGGCAAGGAGCTCTGGGACAACTTTTCACTCTTCAGATCCGAAATGAGTCAGCTCGACAAAATGGGGCAGACGCTCGGGTTTCCTTCAGTCATGTCAGTCGTTCAATCCGACGAGAAGGATATCTCGGGTTTCCCTCCTACCGTAGTCCAGCTGGCTAATGTCTGCATGCAAATTGCGTTGGCTCGGCTGTGGGCCTCATGGAACATTACCCCTGCTGCCGTCCTTGGCCATAGCCTAGGCGAATATGCTGCTCTCAACATCGCGGGTGTTCTGTCGGATGTCGATACTCTTTACCTCACTGGCAGGCGAGCTGAAATCCTTGAGAGAAAATGTGCGCGTGGCACACATGCTATGCTTGTCGTCATGGCGTCTGTCGAGAAGATAGCCGCCCTTCTGAAAGGTGAAGCGTACGAGATTGCTTGCATCAATTCACCCGTTGAGACCGTCCTAGCCGGCACAGTACAGAGAGTCGCCGCTCTTAAGGAAATGCTGACGGCAAGCGGACTGAAATCGACTGTTCTGAAGGTTCCCTACGCATTCCATTCCTCTCAGATTACACCCATTTCCGACGAGTACGAATCTGCGGCTTCTTCTGTTACTTTCTCCAAGACCAAGATCCCAGTCCTCTGTCCCCTCGATGGCACCATTGCTGACGGAGAAAATCATCCCTTCAACGCTCGCTACCTCGTCCGCCATGCTCTCGAACCTGTCAGAATGATGCAGACCCTCTTGAACGCAAAGAACGAGGGCATCATCAATGACCGGACTGTGTTCATCGAAGTTGGCCCGCACCCGGCAATCGCTGGCATGATCAATCCAGTGTTGGGCAAACAGACGGCATGCGTGGCATCTCAATCCAGAGGAAGGTCGTTGTGGAAGACCTTGGAGCCTGCTCTGAGCACGGTCTACATGCTTGGGGCTAACGTTTCTTGGGGCGAGTACCAGCGCGACTTTGAGTCGACACACAAAGTCATTAAACTACCTGCGTACAGCTGGGACATTAAGGACTATTGGATGCAGTACGTCAATGACTGGTCGTTGCGCAAAGGTGACCCGGCTGTAGTGGTCAGCAAGGAACCAATGATGAGTGAAACAAACAAACTTGATAGTACGACCATCCACAGGGTCGTTGAGGAGACGGGAGACGCAGCCCAGGTTCGCCTCATTGTAGAGGCAGACATCCAGCGCGACGATCTTTCCCCACTCGTACAGGGTCACGAAGTCAACAACATCCCTCTCTGCACGCCATCAGTCTACGCAGACATGGCCTTGACGCTCGGTAAATACCTGTTGGACAAGTACCAGCCTCAGACGCGACACAGGCTGGTAGACGTATCTGACATGACTATTTCCAAGGCTTTAATCTTACGAGCCGGAGCCGCCGAGCAGCTCTTGCAGGCACATGCTGATGTGGACTGGAAAACTATGTCTGCTCAGGTCAAGTTCATGTCTTTCAACAACAAGGGCAAGTTGCAGGAACATTCGCGGTGCACCCTAGTCTTCAAGGACGGAAATCTCCAGGAGAAGCTCCAAAAAGACTTGGACAAAGTTCAACAAAAGCTGAAGGCTCTGCGAGATGGAATTGCGCAAGGCACCACAGCTCGCTTCAATACTGCAATGGTATACCGAGCCATTCGTCCTCTTGCCCGCTTCCATAACGACTACCGCGCAATCGACGAAATTGTGCTTAACAGCAATACCCTGGAAGCTTCAAGTGTTCTGAGCTACGGGGCTGTGAAGAGAGGTGGTCACTTCCACACTCATCCGGCTATCATTGACTCTCTCACGCAATCTTGTGGGTTCACAATGAACTGTAACGACAGCAGCGATCTGGACGTGGACGTTTTCATGAATCATGGCTGGGGTTCTTTCCAAATCTTCGAGCCAATTGATTTTGAGAAGTCATACACTACTTACACACATATGCAGGCCGGGCAAAACAACCTGTGGTATGGTGACGTCGTAGTCCTTGACGGTCATAAGGTTGTGGCTTTCTTTGGCAAGATTGCGGTTCGTACTTTCTGCCTAGACGCTCCTGTTGGAACCCTACTAACTTCAATGACAGATTCAATGTGTTAGTCGGCGCGTTCTCAAGGTCATCTTATCGATGGAAAGCGGACAAAAGTCGAATGCCCAGCAAGCCAGCGCCGTGAAAGCTCCACAGAAGGTCGCCCCTACAAGGCCTGTGGTCACCATTCCATCTAGCTCGCAGCCATCGACAAAAACGTCTGCCCCGTCGGCATTGAGCAACAAGTTCTCTACGGCCTTGAACATCATCGCGGAAGAAAGTGGGCTCTCTGTTGATGACCTGTCAGACAACACCGTCTTTAGCGATGTAGGCATTGATTCACTCCTGGGATTGACCATAGCGGCTCGGTTGAAGGAGGAGCTAGATGTCGACTTAGAGTTCAACTCGTTCTTTTACGAATTTCCGACGGTAAAGGACCTGAAGCATCATTTTGGCAACGGGCCCGAATCGGCCGACGAGATGTCGTCTCCGGACACTCCCATGTCTCAATCCGGCTGGGACGATTTATCAACCCCTATAACCGTTCCTTCTACACCAACAGGATGTGCAGACCAGCCGAGCCAGAAGGTCGACTTCAACAAGGTGCTTGACATAATCTCAGAGGAAAGCGGAGTGGCCGTTGAGGAGCTCACCCCTGACACTAATCTTGGCGACTCGGGCGTTGATTCCCTTCTCTCGCTGGTGATCGTCAGTCGCCTCCGCGACGAGCTTGATCTCGATATCCAGCAGGAGTCCTTGTTTCTCGATTGCCCGACTGTGGCCGATCTCAGAGAAGTCTTGACTGGCCGCGGCTCTCGGGTAGCGGCGCCCAAGTCAATTTCGCCGGCTTCTTCGGCATCGTCTAACTGGACACCAGCTCAGCCAGTTGTTACGATGGAATCCAAAGCTTCTCCTCTTACTGCCACTGACAAGGACGCCTTGGAAGAACGTGAGAGGGCCGTTGATGCTTGCGTTAAAAAGTACACTGCTGGCTGGACACCTCCGACCTCTGCGCCGTATGGTGCGATGCCGATTAAAGAAGAGAAGGTCGTTCTCGTGACAGGTGCCTCGGGAAGCCTCGGTGGACATCTGGTCTACCATCTCGCACAATTGCCGGATGTGAAGACGGTCATATGCCTCAACCGCGAAAATAAAGCCGAGCCATTCACACGTCAGCTCAAAGCTATGAGGGACAAAGGAATCCGTTATCCTGAGAATCTGAAGCATAAGTTGAAGGTCTACCAGACCGATTACTCCAGGCCCAACTTCGGGCTGGACGAGAAAACATACGTCTCGCTATGGAAGACCACGACGCATCTCATCCATCAGGCTTGGCCGATGAGTGCTAAGCGCGCCTTCTCCGGCTTCGAAACGCAGTTCCAAGTATTACGAAATCTAGCAGACTTTGCGACATTAGCCGCCTCGCAATATCCGGCCGGATTCAAGTTCAGCTTCCAATTTGTCTCGTCGGTCGGTGTAGTCGGACATCACAGGCTAGGAAATGAGCCAACCATTGTGCCTGAGGAGCTAGTTGGCATTGAGAGTGTTCTGCCCAACGGTTATAGCGATGCCAAATGGGGCTGTGAGCGGATGCTGGCAGCAACGATGGGCAAGCATCGCGGCTTCTTCCGCCCTATGGTCGTACGGCTGGGCCAGATTGCCGGGTCGAAGACAAGCGGGTACTGGAATCCGATGGAGCATTTCGGGTTCATGATGAAGTCTTCACAGACGCTCAACGCTATTCCCGACGTGCCTGGCACCGTCTACTGGGCGCCCGTCAATGACATTGCTGCGACCTGTTCCGACCTTATACTTTCGGACCGCGAGCCCTTCCCCGTCTATCACATCGAAAATCCACACGGCATTCCGTGGCATCACATGACACGCGTGCTTGCCAAGGCGATAGGAATCACCGACCTGATTCCCTTCAAGGAATGGGTCAGGCGCGTGGCCGAGGCGCCGCAGCGTAACAACCCGGCTTCTACTCTTCTCGAATTTCTCGACGAAACCTATCTGCGTATGGCGTGTGGTGGGCTCGTTCTTGGTGTCGATCACACCTTGGAGCATTCTAAGACGCTACGCGACCTGGCGCCTGTAAATGACGAGATTGTTAACAAATATGTCCATATTTGGAAGGAAATTGGGTTTTTAGCAAATAACTGAAGTCAGGGTAGTGAAAGATATAGTGATATTTAGTATCTATTGTTTTTTTTATAGAGACTATTCTAAATGTGAAGTAATTAAGATAAATATCACAGAGTGGCAGCCCTAATAGCAATAGGCCATATAAGCGGTGTGAACAGCAGTGCTCAGTGAGGATCAGTTAAGCATTGGTGGACCTTTTGGCGTTTTGGCTCAATTAGGTAGAGCCAGGCGTCAAAGGTCTATTAGGGTGTGAACGGCCGCTGGTCATGAGGAGTGATTAGTGGCCAGGGGGTATTTCTGGCGTACATAAATGCTTCCGAGGGGTATCCGGGCCCAGATGCTTACTATAACTAGAAAGTCAGATTTATGTAATATGTCTTTCTAAATCTATTATATCTTACTACTAAAAGAGGGAAAGCGTTATTTAAAACAGCCTTTTCTACTATTTATCTTAGTATTTTAAAAAAGATAGCTAAGATAATTAGTAAGTAGCCTAAATATATAAAGAAAGTAAAACTTATAATAATAATAATAACTATATTATAATAGTAGTAATTATAGTTACTAGTACTATAAAAGTAGTATTTACTTTTACTATAGTTATTATTAATAATAATCTTTTTAGTAAAAATAAAGATAATAGCTATATTTATTTTAGTAGTATTACTTATATAAAGAAAGTTTTAAGTACTTTTCTTTATAAGTTAAAGACGTAAGTTATTATCTTTTTTAATATAGGTAAAGCTAACTTTTATTAACTAGTAAAGTAGCTTTATAATAATAGGTAAGTAAAAGACACTATATATTAGTTAGTTAAATAATAACTAATTATATTCTTATATATAGTTAGGTAAAAAGAAATTTAATAAAATACTATATACTTATTTTAAATAATATAAAGTACTATAAGTATATTTATTTAGAACCTCTTTATAGTAATAGTTATTTCTTATACTAAAGTTATTACCTAACTATACTAGTAGTATATATCTTTAACTATAGAGCTATTACCTTAAGACTACTACTTTATTAGTTATATTAAAGTAGTTAATAGTACCTTTCTTAAGGCCTATATAGTACTTTATAACTAGAAGAGATCTTTTTACTTAAAAAGGTATATATTATAAATCGCTCTAATTATAGTTAATCTTATTAGGCTAATTATATATATAATAATAAAAGTAAATAACTAAATAAATAATATAGCTTTAATAAAGTAGGTAGTTTATAGATTAGAGATATAAAAGAGTATAATATAGATATAATATAGTATAAATATATATATTTATATGTTCTTTTCTATATAATATAATATATATACTTATATTTATATTTCTTACTTTATATAACGTACATAATAAGTAAGCGCGCTAGATAAGTAAGTACGCCACTAAACTATAACTATCTAACTATCTAACCTTTCCCTTTTATTCCTCTACTAATAATAATAAAATCAACTTGTAATAAAGCCTAGGTACAGCTAGCTATCTAAGCGTATAAAAAAGATCTAAAACTTAGTATTTAAGCTGTAGTAAAGATATATAACGTTAGTTATAATTTAGTAACGTATTAATTAAAGGGTATACTATTATAACGTAATATTATACCTAACTTATAGAATTTAATAGAACTTAAAGAGAGGAAGCTAGTTAAGTTTATTCTTAACCTAGATTCCTAATTATTTCCTTCCTACCTTAGTAGTGTTAAAGAAATAGCTAATTAACTACTTACTAACTATAACACGCCTCTAGTTAGTAAGCGCTAGGCCTTAAACTTTATTAAATAAACACTAGAGCTCTAAACGCGTTTTTTTTATAAGTATAACTATAAGAGGGCTTAATATAAAGATCTAGATATAATAAATATATAGTTTTACCTTATAGTAAATATAATTATAAAATATAGTATTATAAAGTCTAATATCTATAACTTTAATAAGACTAGCTTTATAATAGGCTAGATTATATCTAGAATAGTTATTATAAGCTTTAAAAGACGTTTAAATATAAAAATAGTGTAGCCTAGAAATTAAGAATAAGTTATAGTTATTTAGGCTATTAGTTTATTTAGTTATAACGTCTTACTATATATTATTATTAAAAGTAAAAATCTCTTTTTTACTTAGTATATAGAATTTAGTTTTTTACCTAACTAAGTTATTATAATATCTAAAAATAAATAGATAATAAATAAAAGAGGCCTAGATTAGCTTTAGCACTTTAATTAATATTTAAAGTTATATATAAAAAAGAAATATTACCTTTTTATTATTAATAGGTATAAAAGTTACTATTCTATAGACTTTAAGCTATATTATAAAGAAAATAATATTATTACTTTTTATATACTACCTTATTTATCTTATTTACTTTAGCTTTTAGATATTAGGTGTTTTAGGCCTTTAAAGCTAGCGTATAGTTAAGAAATTAAGGATAAGATATAATAAAGTAATACCTATATTATAAAAGATAACTTCTTTTTAGTATTTTATAACGCCTTTAAGTAAGCTCTTATAAAAGTAAATATTTAAGGAGGCTTTAAAGGGGTAAGGCTTATCCCTCTAAGTCTAGAAAGTGTACTATTAAAGCTAGATATTAAGTTATATACTCTAATACCTTTAGGATCCCTTCTAATAACACTACTAGCTTAGACTTCCTAGACACTATATAACGTAATAGAGATATCTTCTTAAGGAACTCTTATTAAGGATTACTTTATTAATTATCTAGACAGCTCCTTAATATATAGATTAATAGCTACTAAGTATATTCTTAAAAAAGCGTTAGGAATTATATATAAAAATACTTTATTAAAGGCTAAGGTTAAAACCCTTTATAAAAAGAATAACCTACTTAACTAATATAGAAAAGTAAAAAAAACTTATCTAAAGTAAGGAGGGAGTCTTAGTGTAGCTAATATATAGGATATTTAGTTATAAAGAGAGGTAATAACCTAGATTAAGAAGGAAACGCGTTAGAGTAGTAGTTATAGATTAAGGATAGAAATAAGTAAATAGTAGTATAGTACCTATAGGAACGCTAGATATAATATATAAACGTGCTAGTTTAATAAAGAAATATCTAAAGAATAGGATTTTAAGTAGTTTAAATTAGTTTTATTATTTTATAGTTACTTCTTAGTTATATTTATAAGGTAGCTATAATTAGGTAGCGTGCTTACTTATCTAGCGCGCTTACTTATTATATATGTTAATATAATATAAATATAGATATATATATATTATACTTTATATTTAATATATAAATCTAATAATTAAATATAGTTTTTTAAATTTATTTATAGATAAGTATTAAAAGTATATTAGAAATAATAGGACTTTTATAGTTATTAAATATAGTAAAAGTATATATAAACTTACTAGTAAATATATAGTTACCTTATAGTAAATTACTAAGGAGTAAGTAGTAAAAATACCTTACTTTAATAGTAATTTTACTAATAATATTATATGTATAAAAGGTATAACAAGACTTTTATAGTATAGTAACTATATAAAATACCTTAACTATTAAAAGTAATATAAAATTTCTTACTAATTAGTATAGATATTATATTAATTAGTTTATAACTTAGTCTTAATTAAAGTACTTAAGTATCCTTATTAACTATAGTAGTATACCTAGTAAAATAAGTAAATACTTCTAATTATCTTTTACTATTACGTCTAGTAGTAAATTATAAAAAGAGCTTAGTTTAATAAGATAAAAGTAGGTCTAAAAGTAAAAGTATAGATATATATATCTATTTTAAAATCTATTATTACTAGCTTATATCTATACTTCTTATTAGATATAAAGTCTTTTAATTAACTTATATACTACCTTATTTTAGGCTAATTACCTTACGTTACCTTAATTATTTCTTAATTCCCCTTTTATAAGTCCTCTTAAGGAGAAATTATAACTAAGATTAGCTTATACTTAACTACCTTTATAGTAAGTAGAATAATATAGTAGGTAAAACACTTCTACTACTTTTTTATATCTTTAACCTTTATATCTACTTTTCTTAATATATAAATATAAACTCCTTTTCTAAAGAAAACTAAATTATCCTTACCCTTAAAGCTATTAAAAAGACCTAAGAATGTCTTTATAAACAGTAGCTTATACCTTTAAGGTCCCCTTAATATCTCTTTATAACTAATATAATAAATAAGTTATATAAGATAATATATATCTAAAAGAAAAGTAGATAATAAAAGTAAAAAAAAAGTAATTCTTTAGAAGGTTATTAACCTAATTAATTAAGGGCTTTTTTTATAATAAGATAATATAA